AAAAAATAAGAACCAAGAGACTCATGTAATGGTACAAGATCCCAATGATGAATGTAACTGTATTTTATACCTTAAATGTACCAATGAAGTTAATGGGGGAAAAAAAGAAAAAAAAGAAAATGATCAAGATATGTTATATGCATGTACCAAGTCTCCAAAATAAACATCTCTATGCCTATAAAAAAGAAAAAAGAAAAGCGAGTGGTTTTAATTTCTGCTGTACCAGCAAAGAACAACCAAAGCTGATTTGTAGACATAAGAAAGCACCCTGGTTGGAGTTAGGCAGTGTTCCTAAAAATAGTGGAAGTTGTTGATGTTGAGAAAAACAAGATCTGATGCAGATAAGCAGCCAGGGGCAAGGAACCAATGCCAAGTGAATATCAAGGCCAATTTACATTCTTTGGGTGGTGCCACCTGAAATATTTGTACCACACACTTAACTGATACCATAAAGCATGGTGATCAGAGCCCAGTGCTCATGGGGGCAGGAAGTCTGAGTATGCACCTTGGTCCCTTCTCCTTACCATTGGTGTGACCGTGAAGTCACCCACAGTTTCTAGGCCATATTTTTCTCATCCATATTGTGGATAATATCATGCATGTGGCTCTTAAAGGAACACTTGTCACAAGGTATACACTCAAAGTTAAAATAATTTGTACCATTACTTCTCGTCCCAAATATCACTGACCACAATAAAATACATATCTGAAAGTGTTCTGTGAGATAATTCTTATTATTGTTTCTTTCAGTGAAAGCCCACCAATCATCCCAAACTATAAACAAACCCAGAGAAACATACGCAGAAATTGAAAGTAGAAGAGAAGGGGATGTTAACAACACAAGAAAGAAAAGAGAAAAATTATTGTTTTCCCAGGCAGCAGAGGCAAAGCTCATTCTGCTCTTGAAGTGCTCTTGAAGAAGAATAAGGGAAAGGAGGAGGAAGGGAAAGGGGAAAGGGGAAGGGGAGGAGAGAGAGGGAAGGGAATGGGAGGTACAGGAAGAAGTAAAAGAAGAGGAGGAGGAGGGAGGGAGGGAGATATGGAGAAAAGGAGGAGAGGAAGGAAGGAGGGAGAGAGAGGGATGCAGGAGGAAGGAAAAGATGTTTGTTCCATTACTCTTTCAGCCCCAAGTTCTGTAGAGTTCAGTTGTCCAGAAAATAGGCATATGTCCTGGGCATGTCTGAACCCAGAAAGAACCCACAGGGGTCTGCAAGGGCTGGTAGAGACCAAAAGAAAAATACCAGTTCACAATGCACAACATTCCTCTCCTCAAGGACACCCACTGCCCATCGCCAGGAGGAAGGTGGTACCTGCTGAGCTCTGATATGCTGGCCTGGCTTGCTCCACAGAGCCCCCTCTCTGCTCATGGCTTCCCCAGTTCCTGGAACCTCAGTGCCTTCTCTTCCCCTAAGCTGTTCATAGACTCTCCAGGCTTCACCCGAACCGGCAGGATCATATTGTATTTCAAGCACTTTAAATCCGAGATGTGCCGGACCAGCGATGGCAGAGGAGGTGCAGTCTAGGGAGCCAAGTAGTGCTCCAAAGTAGTGCATGTCCTCTTTTTCCTTTGGGCAGTTTGGAGTTTGCTCACACTGATGTGCTGTGTGTGTCCTGGCTCAAACAAACACTTGCCTTCACATCATGCTCGCAGGCTCATGCCTGCACAGCCACCTGGACTCACCCAGCTGTTTCTTACACACTTGTGCACAGCAGCATGCTCACACACACCACATGCAGACCCACAACCCAGTCCCCACATTCAGTCCCATAGCAGCCTCTACCCCACAATCATCTCTGACAGAGACATAGCAAATTCAACCCTGAGGAGGCCCTGACTTTCTGGGGTACAGGTGGGGAGAGAGGTCTGCATCTTCTGTGTGTGAGGTGGGGAAACATGAGAAGGTCCTCCACCTCTGGAAGGAAGCATCTGCAGGCCTCGAGGTGCTACTTTTAAACTGCCTCCTTGGACCTGTTTTCGTCCAAGCCTTAATGATCAACATATGACATAGAAGTGTTTTGTGAAGGTGGAAAAGTGCTCAGGAGAAACAAGTTGCTGCCCTGCCCCATCCTAGAGCTGCAGACTGGACTCTTGTAAGGGACTAAGCTTTGGAGTGGCTTGTTACCTAGCAACAGATAAGTGATACATATTGCCTAATGGAACCAATGTGGGTCTCCAACTAAAAGAACAATGTGCCCTTATCCTCTATTCGGTGGAACATGTTACTGTGGCACTTTATGTCTTAGACACATCTAGAGAGATGTGTTTGAGGATATTTACATATGTATCTGTGGATATGTCTTCTAAAATCTCCTGTGCAAACCAGACATCATTATCCCTATTTTAGAGAAGGGGATGGTGCTGAAAGACCTCAGGTCAAAGCCTAGAAAATAACAGACATAGCTATTGAAGAGCCAGGGTAGGTGATTCCAAAGGCATTTCCTTCTGATGCATTGTAATGCCCCTAACTAAGATGGTATGACTTTTTGGTGCTCTGCAGCCTGGTAACCTTAGACATTTCTAATGCCTGAATGAAGTGGTCATACTGAACAGGAGTTATCAATTATTAAGAAAGTCGTGTCCCACAGTCTTCAGGAGCCCCCAGCTCTTTGCTGCAGGGTGCACTGCTGAGCCCCAGTGATGGCTCCATCCAATATCAGCCAGAGCGTTTCCTCCTCTCCTTGACCCTCCTGTCTTTCCAGCTATTCCAATGTGAATGTGTTTGGGATTCTCTGGTTTCTTTCTTTCACTGCAGTGAAAGGATTTAGGTGGTGTCAAGTTCACCAGAATTAAGACATTTCCCCATAATTTCTCCATGCAAACAGAGGAAAAGGTAGCAGGCTTGCAACAAATTTATGGAAGGGCGGGCAGAATGAGGTCCTGGAAGATGAACCAGAATGAAAACAAGATGTTCCCTCTGAAAACACTTGGAAAAACCTTCCTTCTTCCCCAGGGAAGCTTCTCAAGGCAAAGCCCAGCCCCCAAATCTGGCCCATTTGACCAGACGCACACCTCATTTGCCATGAGACCAGCAGAGGGTTTGTCAGGCCAAGGAGCCATCGTTCTTCATTTCCAGAGCCATTTGCCTGGTGCCCGTGTGTTGGACGGCCTCACAGTCCTGTGACCAGGGAGGAATTTCCATGCCAAGCCTCCCCATCTGTCTGCACCACAGTTTAAAGTGGGAAGGAAGAAGAATGGGCTTGGCTGTGCGTCAGACTGATCTGGCTTCAGCCCTGTCTCCAGCTCCTGCTGTGTGATCTTGGAGCAGGAACCCATTGTCTCTAAATTTAAAGGTTCTAATCAGCAAAATAAAAACAATAAGCCAGGTACAGTGCACATGCATGGAATCTCTGCACTCTGAGAGGCTGAGGCAGGAAAGTTGAGGCACAAGGTTGAGCTCAGCCTGGGGAACATAGCAAGACTCAAAAAAGGGGCTGGGGATAGTTCAGTGCAAAGGCCCTGGGTTAAATCCTCAGGGCCTAAATAAATAAATATTAAAAAGCTTTAAAACCCTCTTAGAGGGCCAGAGATTTAGCTCAGTGGTTTCACCGCCTGCTATGCAAGTGCAAGGACCCAAGTTCGATCCCCAGTACCAAAAAAAAAAAAAAAAAAAAGTCAGAAACACACCTCAGAAGTACTGGTCCAATGTGGCTGACTGCATCTGCTAAGGGACAAAGGGAAGGGACACATGACAGGACAGAATCTACTCCTTCTTCCTAGTAAAAGAATCTCCTACTTTTAACTGAACACAAGGCTACGTAAAATAGAGACTATTTCCCAGCCACTGCTGCTGCTAGTTTTGGCCCCATGACAAAGTCCTAGACAACAGACTGTGATAGCAGATAACATGTGTTGCCTCTGGGAAGACTTCTTCAAGGAAGCCAACCTGCCCTTCTGAGTCTTCTCTTCATTTCTGCTTGCTGAAACATGGACATGAAGGCTGGAGTCCAGGCAGCCATTTCAAACCATGAGGCAGAATCCTTGGGGTGGCAGAGCAATGAGACAGAAGTCTGGGTTGCTGATGATCATAGACTCACAAAGCTTGACAGCTTTCTTTAGTAAGAGAAAATAAGTTTTTCTGTTACCCACACTGAACTTAATCTTTATGAGTATTAAAAGTTAATGTGCTTTATGATAAATGTACTCTTAATATATGTTCAAAAATATATTTTCCAAGATTGTTTATTCCCAATTCTTTAAAAATTGAATCTGTTTGATATGTTGCCTGAAGTGTCCTTTACCTTCTTTGCACAAGGCTACACCTAACCCAGTGCACTTGCTGGTCTATTTTAAGCTCTCACAACTCTTGAAATATTCCAAGCATCCCAGTGGATTTGGAACTAAAAAGTTCAATTGCTTCTCCATACTTGGGATTGAACCCAGGGTCTTCACACTGAGCTACATCTTCAGCCCTTGTTTATTTTTCTATTTTGAGATAAGGTCTCAGTTAGTGGCTAACATGCCCCAATGGGGTTTGAACTCGTGATCCTCCTGCCTCAGCCTCCCAGAGTGCTGGGATTACAGGCAAGGGCCACCACACACAGCTGAAGAGTTCACTTTAAAGGGAAAGACACGCTTTGAAGAACTTGCCACATCAAACCCCATTATGTTCACATGTTAATAATGAAAATAGTAATTTCTGAAGTATTTTAATGTTTACTGTGTGCTAAGTGGTGATATACTTTCCTGGAGTGGTGGGATATACTTATAATCCCAGCACTCTGGAGGCTGAAACAGGAGGATTGCCATGAGTTTGACACCATGCTGGGCTTTATAGTGAGCTCCCCCTGGACTATATAGCTCTACTCTGTTTCAAAAATTCCAAAATAATAATAGTAATATTAATAATAAGTGCCATATACTTGTCACAGAGTGCTTCATTTAATCTTTCCAACAAACCTATTGCTACTCTTATCATTCCTGTAGTTTGAATGAGAGACCAACTGCCTGCTGAACCAGCTGCTCAGCCAGGCCCTGAGACCACCAGATCCTTATTCCCTACCTTCTCTGGTGCCCAAGTCTGATGGGAACCGGGTCTTCTTGTGCTGCTTTAGGCAGAAGTGTGCTCTTCCAAAGACTTCTTCCTGAATACCAGCCCTGCACTGGAGCTGCACGGCTCTCCCTAAAGAAAGACCTCTGCCCTACGGCCTCTTAGATGACTGCTCACACCAAGCCTCCCCAGCCAGAAGCAGGACTTGCTTCTCACCCTTGATTTATGATAGCTCATTTCAAACCCCATCGATCTCTCCAGCACTGAGAAAGCTTCTGAACTCTGTGCTGGTTCCTGAGATTATTTTGAATCATGTATTCAGACCCTTCATCATTTTAAAAGCCCTGACTGCAGGCTGAGGGAGAAACTCCATGCTGGTCTGTAAATTTATCACCAGCTTAATTTGGAATTTGTACTTGTCTCCACTTGAGTTACCTGGACCATTGGTTAGGTGCCAAAGTCCAAATCCTGACTAGGTTCTGTTCCTTGGATCTCATCTTAAAAATTCTGGGTGGATAAAAGAATACCAGATAAGTATTTGGCCTTTTACATTAAGTCTATGATAACTTAGTGGTAGCTGAGATTGATAACTATACAGACTTTCATCTCAAAGCAAAATAAATTATCCTGAAATACAGACCCTCCCTCCCAAAACAGTACTAGTATAAAAAAAAATACCTGGAGTGGGAATTTTCCTCTTACCCTGAGACCAAGGAACAAATTGAACAGGTTGATGGTGTCCTTAGTCCATGAGTTGAGAACATCTCAGCTGAGGAGTTCAAACAGCTTGGTGAGCAAAGAGAAGCTGAAATCTTTGGGGAGTTGGAGTATTAGGTTTGTGTTCCTTGTCTGCAGTTACACGCATCTTCCTTTGCAGTAAAATAAGCCCAGTGAACTTGAGCCAGTGCAGCTGCTGTGGGCTGCAGTTTCCAACTGAAAAATGAGCCATCTCCAGCCTTGTGCTGGTTGTCCAGAAGGATTAAAAACTGTTCGGGCTTGCAGCTTCAAGCCTGGCATGGACACGGTCATTTTGCAAGGAAAGGTGTGGGCTGCTCTGGATGTCCCTGTATTTACTAGCCCTTGATTAGCAATGGGACCTCATGAACAAATACTCCAATATCCCCAAATCTTTGATGCCCACATCCTTTCTGTGAGATCCATGGAAAATCTATTCACTGATTTGCCTAAAAGTGAACGACGGATGGCCGTATTATGTGCAAAGGACTATTCTGGATGCAGGCTGTAAACCAGGCAAAACCCCTGCCTTCCTAAAACCTGCACTGAGTGTGAGGACACAGACAATAAGGAAAACACATAAGTAAGTATAAACTGTGTGTGATGAGTGCCCGCTGCAGATACTGTGGTGTGCTACCCAGCCCTCTAGGGCACGCACCATACATTACAAACTGAGGGCTCCTTATCACTGACCAATGAATTAGGGGCTCCTATGGCTACAGGTTGGTGGTTAGCCTTTACCGAGCAGAGCCAAAAGCACTGGTGAATGAAGCCTAGATGACCTTCCATCAAGGAGGAACCAGAATTAGTATATAGCCAGCCTTTGTATTCATGGGGTCCCATATCTATGGATTCAGCCAATTGCAGATCAAAAATAATTGGGGGGGGGATGCCTCCACACTGAACGTGTACACATGTTTTTCATGCCATTATTCCCTAAACAATATAGTGCAACAACTATTACATAGCATTTACATTTTAGTAGGTATTTTAAGTAATGTAAAGTACATCAGAGGATTGCCTAGATTATGTGCAAACATTGTTATTTTATAAAATTCACAGATTTTTATATCCATGAGGAATCCTGAAATCCATTCCCCTTAGATACTCAGAAATGACTATATTCCTCAACTCAAACCCATTCTCCATTGCCTTCCTAAGATGCAGAGACATGTCTCCTTGTCAAGTGTACCATGTTAGACTTGGTCAGGAGAGGGCAGTGGGGTGGAGGCTAGAGAAAAAAAGGGGCTTCTGCTACCAGGTAGATCTGGATTCTGCCCTGATAGAGGACTTCTTCCATATTTGTTCCTTCCTTGATGTTCTGTTACAGCCCTAGAGGCAATGGCCACTTATCTGTTGTTTCTATGTTCCTTGTAATTCACTCTTTTTTGGTAGGTAATGCCCTGATGTGTTCAAATGTACCCAGGATTTGTTTTAATCAAGCATAGTAAGACACAGACATGGAAAGAGTTGTCAGAAAGTGGAAATTCATACTCACAGATCACTAGAGACAGGAGGACAGGAAACCAGGGCCACAGGGAAGCACTGCGCTTGGCCAGGAGGCAAAGGAGAGAGAAGAGAACCTTTATTGGCTTTTTTATTTTTATTTTTTGGTACTGGGGATCGAACTCAGGTCCTTGTGCTTGTGAGTTGTGAGGCAGGCAGCAGAAGCACTGAGCTAAATTCCCAGCCCTAATTGGCATTTTCATAAAAAGGAATAGGATGTGTAGAGTAGATAGAGTGAAAAATTTCAGTGTGCTCTGGGACAGAGGGGTGGCTCATGATTGTGAAATACTTAACCTCGGGGTGATTTCTAGAAGGGGGTGTGTGAAAGGTTGATAGAGGAGATGGTTAGGAAAGGAGGTTCTGATTGGTTGGTTTGTATACCAAAGGCATGCTCATAGCAAAGGCATTTTCTCTCTCCAAGAATCAACTAGCCCCCTGAGGGGAATTGTTTAGGATTAATGCCCCAAATACTAGAGCACCAGGATACAGAACATAAGAAACTATAGTCAAGGGTTTCTGCTTCCATTGGTTATTACTTAAGATGAAAACAACAGAGGATGTGTATTTTTAAAAAATAAGTCCTTCAGTCTACATCAACTGGACAGTATTCAAGTTTTCTTTTAAGACTCATTTATGTCAGGCTGGTTAGAAACAACAAAAGAAAATGGATTTGTCATTGAAATCTAGGAAAATTCTATATTTTTCACTCTCCTTTAAAGTTAATGAAATGTTTTTTAACCCTCAGTTAAGTATCACACATAGAAAATCTTCATCGGTTTGGCAAAGTAATTTGAAAATTAGGTTGAAATCTTTTTTCTTTTTCCTGATTAAAAAGTGATGGCATTTTAAACAACCAAAAAAAAAAGGAAGAAAGTGGGAAAGTTGCAAGGCAAATGTTTATCTATTTAAAAGAGCAAAGTATTTCCAAATATCAGAATAATTTACATAAGAATAATATAACTGTATTTGAAGTAGAAGCTAGTACTGATTTTATTAACTAAGTTACTATATTCATATTATCTAAATCAGAGATTTACTGTCATTGTTTAGTCTGTATATATTAAAATACCTATCATCACAGTACTTATAAAATATGAAAAAAAAGAAACTATAGTCAATAAGCCTGATAGAGTTAATAGTCCTCCTTTAAATCTTACTTATTCAAATTACCATATGGTATCTGTTTCCTGATTGGGCTAATATACAGTGCTATTTTAAAAACACTAATAGTAATGGTTATTTTTTTCTTTAATTCCTGGCTCAAAATATTAGACACCTACCTCCCTCAGCACCCCAAATTTCTCTTTCTCATCTCCACTTTAAAACCCTGAAAATATGTATGCAGAAGCTGACAAATGATCACAGTTTTTCCTAATAATTCCATTTCAGAGAATTTATAACACTCTAGAGTGAGAAATAATTGGGGCGAAAGATGTTTATCACAGAATAATTTATAGCATCTCAGCCTCATCCTTTCCTTTACAAACTCTTATGACAACAAGTATTATTTTTTATCAGTTGTCCACTCTGACTTTTGTACTTCTAGATCCAGCAGGAATTTGAGCTCCATGAGAGTAGAGACTGTTTCTGTCCTATTCAGTGTTGATCCCATGAGGCTGGATGAGGTCACAAGGGAGTCAGAGTAGAAGAAAGATGAGCTCTAGTAAAGAGTGGGAAATGTGACTGTTACCATGAGCCTCTGCTGTCTCCATCCTCACCTTTAAGGGCATGGGCATTGTGCAGCCAGAGGGGTTTGCTGAGCAGCAACCCACACAGGTACATCTGCTACCCTCAGGGCACAAGGAGAGGAAAAGAAAGAGAGCCAAAAGGTGCATTGGACAGGAAGGACAAAGACAACCCCAGCCCTACCAGACCCAAGCAGAGTCGAATTAGTTTAGAAAGATCCATAAGGGTCCAAGGATCCATTCAGAAAAGCAAAGCACCAAGATCAGAGATGGGGGGCAGGATGTCGTATGTGTGAATCCTACATGAGGTGTGATTGTGTGTACATGCACACCCTACAGGTGGGAGAGGAAGAGCTCCACCTTGGTAGAGACCCTACTGAGAGGTGAGCAGCTCAGAACACCTGAATCATAGGGCAGGCCAGATACTACTTTGTCGTGCCACCTGTGGCACACAGGGCAGATACAGAGCATATGTTCTATTCCTTCAGACCAGGAGGGGACCACCGTTTTTACTCCTACCTAATGTCCATCACAAGAGGGACCCAGGGGCAGACCAGCTGGTTGAGGGACACAGCTGGTACCATACTGAGTCTGAGAAGAGAATCTTGAATCCACATGTGAAAAATACTGGGTCATGCTTTTTATTTGTGAAGGACCAAGATTAAGTTCTCCACTCACAGAGAGCTGGGCATGAAAACCTTACTTACAGTTAGAAAACAGCTGTGGGCACCACCATGGCACCCTCAGGTTTGGAGGACTGTTAGAGACACCAAATTCCTGTGTGTTACACATGAAATTGAGGAGAATTTCCTAACTACAGTTATGTGTGTAATGTCATGGAGCACTGTTACAAATTTTGTCAAATTTATGTGTAATTTATACTATTACTTATTCAATATTTTTGCATCAACTTGCAACTACTTAGCTCCATTTAAGCAATAAAATGTTTATTGGGCTAATTGTATTTTTATCATTTCATTTATTAGATACATTAAAATAAATATGCATACCTCTGATTGAAACAAAAGATCTGATCTTTATCTACTTGAGACTACCTCACATAGCACTGACAGGTATGACACATTTGAGGAAACATAGTCATACGGAGTGTGTAAGGTCCTTCCTTGTATCCAAATCACTGTGAATGATTTTCAGGGTTCTCTGGGAAATGTCAAGAAGGCTAAGAAATAGTCTGTGAGCTGTTGGCATTTTTCTAGTGGAGAGAAAGATACTCTGCCCTATTTTAAGCCTCTCTCTTCAAACAAATGCTCATCACTATAGACATTTGGAAATATCAAGAATGTAAAAGGGAGCTGTGAGCTACTTCCATTTCTTTTCTATGATAGCAACATCTCAAGCGATATCAGCTTGTATAGAATGAGACCCATAAGCTTTGCTGCTACCTAAACAGATAAAGGGAAGGGAATAATTAAAGCAATT